ATTGTGCTAACATATATCAAGAATGTGATGTAATTACGAGTTGCTAATTAAGGAAGTCATAATATATACTTAATATAATTCCAAATACAATATTAACATTTAAACGTAATAAAGTAATTTGTCATTTATTAACAGTTAACACTACGTTTTAATGAACCTATAAATGATCTTTAGTGGAAATTAACACTGCCGTTATATCCCCATCGCGTGTTACATAAAACCAACTCTGCTCCTTATCAGTTATAATGAACACACTGACATAGAATTGATTCTTATAAAGGCGTATCAGTGCACGCACGCGTCGAGTCACGGAGGGTTGGTATCTCCTGCGTCCCGTCTGGACCGACGATTGTCAATAAAGTGCGCTAGATAGGCGTTGTCATGACAACTAGGGTGCGCTTTCTCCACTTTGGTTGCTGCCCTCAATGCACAATGCATCTAAAGGGGTCGGAGGGTTGAGACCGTGAGGTCTTTTGTCTGGGGCTTTAATGCAAGGGAGCCCTAAAGCTAGCGAAATTGAGTCGTACAAAGCATTTTGTTTAATATCGATCATGTAGGTAATCAAAACGTGCGTAAGCGAGCTTTGCCCATAGGCTTTTATGTATGCGTAACGACTTTCACTTATAATTAAACCACACAAAAAGAGTGGTTATAAAAATTTTGTAAAACCCACTTCAATAGAAATATAATTTATTGTCAATTTTTTAAAAACCGCTCGACTGATTTCGATAAAATTTAAATGGGGCCACCTGGGAAATATACCCTTTTTCCAAATCGGTTCAGGCTTTTTCGAGTAATCGGTGAACATACATAAATAAAAACAAAGATTCCAACGAGTTGTAAACCTCCTCCTTTTTGAAGTCGGTTAACAAGTTAAAATATTATATGCAGGTGAAACTGACACTGCTATCAAAAATTCTAATATACATATGTATTATCTGGCACACAATACTTTTCATAACTTTTCACAATTCCTTCTTGGACTTGGCAAACAAAGTTGATATACCGTTACCTTTACCATACCTTTATAAATTGCCTCATAAGATATTTACTATAATTGCCACGCTTGGCAGTAGCAATTTTATACGTGATAGAGCCATACTGCAGCTATATTATGGTTGTACCACGAATGGGCCGGCTCGACCGGGGATGGACCACGCCCTCACAGAATATCAGTGTAAAATAGCAGCTTAACGGTGCTGTGTTTCGTATGGTGAGTGTAGAGAACCGGAGACGCTTTTTACTGGAAACGAGGCATTCCATCTTAGCCCTCACGGGTGACTACGCATCTGCATTTTGATTCATAATCGAAAATAGATGTAGATGTCTATGGGCCACAGCAACCACTTACCATCAGGTGGACTGTGTGCTGGTTTGTTACCCTTATTCTATAAAAAAGCAGGTTATACAACCGAAGTTTTTTTTATGTCTCCTGTTTCATTCCCCGCTGTCACCTCTTACGAAATCTACGGGATCATGTAGAGCGGTTGACTCTCATACGCCGCCACTACACGATAGAGTCACCTAAGGGAGTGCACTGCTAGTGTTGCTTTATTTTTTCCTCCTCTTCAATAAAGTAAGGGTTTGTTTACTTAATTAATTCTTATAAGAGTTTTAAAAACTGTAGTTACTTAGTATTCAGTACAACAGGCCAAAGTACAATAAGCCGAATCGACAAAAACGGGCACGAAACATGAATTTGTGACCTTTGTCACGAAACCTAGCGCTATAGTGATGTGTCAACTATATTGTGAACATGGGCCATGTCCGCTGTGAAAACGGGAAAATAAATCTACACGCGCTTTGTTAAATTAAAAAAGAACAGATATAGCCTTAAACCACATCAACGTTAGAAAGTAAGACATACTTGTATTAAGATAATTTGCTTAAACTGTATTAAGGTAATTTGTGTAGACACGAACTTAATGCTTTTTAACAGAATTCAAAAAAAAAGAAAAGGTTCTAAATTAGACTCGTGTTTTTATTTCTTATGTAGGTATGGTCACGATTTTAATTGTCAATAAATATATTATTAATAATAATAGTAGTAGTAAATGTTCAAAATAGAGAATGAATATTTTATTATACATATTTAAACGACATTGTAATTTTCAATATTCTATATTATATTTCAATATTATATATTATTATACATATTCTATAATTCTGAAACTATTATGTACTTAGTTTTTATTCATTTTAAATACACATGTGACATTTTTTAGCTCAAATATAGCATTAAGATCTATATTACTGCTCCTAATATTATATTATAATAGCAACTAAATAGTAATTTATTTAAGTACAATCTATTATTTTATTTATTTATTTTTAATTGTACACCTTAAATTTAAAGGATTGCAAAGAGCGGACTCAATGCCTTTTGGCATTCTTTTCCAATCAACCCGGGACGTGTGGGAATAATGTAATAGGTGCCAAAAATAAAATAAATACTACTTAAATTACTAAAAATGTTCAATTATTAACACCTTGTGGTTTGACAATAAATCCATCATATAACTTTTCTCAAGGAATAATTTCCCATGTAATGTGAGAAGTTCGGCCCATCGACCGTATCAGGTCTTGCTCTGATGAACTTTTACTGATTCTCTCCCTATATACAATATAAAATATTAAACTTAAAATGTATATAATGAAAATACACGAGGTAAAAATGATTATGCTATGTGCTTTTTATTAGAAGGGTTTCTCTGAGGTTTAGTTTCCTGTTCGGTAAATGTAAAATGCTCCCCCGTTTGATATAAACTTTTTATATAGCTAGATAATAGTTATATATATATACGAAATTTATCTTAGCCAAGGCCAAAGATATAATGTTAAGCATGCTTTAAACTTTTAGAAAACATCTAAAAGAAACTTTTTTAAAGATTACACAGGCGTTTTATAAATGACCAATAAAACAAAACCAAAGCGATAAATAAAATAATTAAATAGTCTCTTCAACCTCAGATTAAATTCGTTAGGGCACCAGTTGCATATATATACATATTTATTCATGCTAAGCAGAACAAACTAAATAAAGAGACATCGACTTTCTGATATTTGAACTTCCAATATTTTGAGATATTTTCTCACAATGTGAGATGCTTCCGTGTAGTGGCGGTGTAAGAATATCCACTACCCCATATCGTCCCGAGGGTGTCGTAAGAGGCGGAGAGGAAAAAACCAGGAGATGGGCAGCAGCGTCTTCCTAATAACATCTATAAAATAACAAGTATTCGATTGCCAACCCGCCTGCTGAGCGTAACAACTATGGGGAGGATGGCGTGCCTATGATCAACAGTAGACTTTTGATAGGCTGTAAAGATGATGATAATGAACTTTGATGATGAGAAGGATCGTTTTTGTAGACAATCAATTGATATTTTATCTATTGTTAAACAAAAAGCAAATACAAACACGCTACAAGCAAAAGCTAAATAGCAAAGAGCAAAGGTTCAGAAAATGTTACATCACGAAACTAAACCCTAAATAATCAGCGTAAATCATGTTATAAGATGATTTGAAAAGGTTTAATTAAATCGTACTTTCACATCTTATTTGGAATAGCTGTCGTCAAATACTAAGTTGTATGAATTTCTTTAATTATTTGAAACATTTAAATATTAATATATCAAGACTGCATTGCTACTTTAATTATATAGCATTAGGAAATTGGTTAGTGTTATATTATGAAAATTTATTTATATTTTATTTTAAAGGTTTTACTGTAATAAAGTACTAACACAACCACCTTGAAAAAAGTTGATGTTGTTTTATTTTGTCTTCCGTATTAGATATCACAGCGGGCAAATTATAACTTGCAAATTATAAAATGCTAATTATCTTATAGTTTATTTCCACAACTCAGTGAATTATATTAACACAAGTCTGATTTTAAAATATAACTAAATGCATATATTAAAAATGAATAATACATTTACACATTGTCTATGCTTACCTTGAATCACTGTTTGGTTGCATATTTAAAAATGTGTCTACCTACATTTGAAAAATGTTAAGAATAACATCCTATTTCTTTAGAATTAATAACGATCTTCATATAATGTTTACCTATAGATGGAAATATAAGATTCAACTTTCGTTGCACAAGTTTAACGATACGAAAGTGCTGGGAAAAGTTAATACATATTCATTAACGCCACTCATTTACCCAACCCACTTCTCGAGAAAAAACCTATGTTGCTATTACATCAGCGCCTATCGAAAGTGTGAAGAAAAATAAATTGGTAAGTTTTGAACTAAGTCTCTGATCTTTTTCAAAATGTTTAAAGTAAAAAGGTAATTTTGTTTAGAATAAAGTTTTTTTTATATATATTATATGAAAAATGATATACCACACGAATCGAAAATATAAACGCTTAATAAAAATTACACATCATATGAAGAGTGTATGTTGTTGTGAAGGAATAAGAAATAATTAAAAACCAAATCGTAATGTACGAGTGCATACTAAGGAAGTAATGGCCAAATACTCAACGCTCAGTGATAGAGACAACACAAGATTTAACGTCTTAACCCTCTATTGCATACAAAGCCAATTTTGGCTGCTCAACTTTAGTAATTTATTTCTACCCTAATTTTAAACAAAATTATAAAATGTCAATGTAGTAATATTAAGGAATTCAAACTGAACCGAAACGTAATTTTTATTATCTATGGCCAACGTCATGTGTCATTATAACCTCACTTTTCTCCGGTGCGTACGCGACGTCGTTCTTAGTGAATTTATTGCAGCTTTGTTGGTGGAAATTAAATAGAAAAGGTAAGAAAATTGATGTTAAAAAATGTAAATAATGTTCTGCAAAACCTCTGTTTTTGACCCCTATCACAGTTTATTCAAAATATTTGCTCCTTATACTTCATTTTCAATATTTTCTACAGGAGCCAATTTTGGCTTCGCATGCATTTACGATGAAGTATGTTTGCGCCTAAAATGGCTTCGCATGCATTCAGAGTTTTTTTTTTATCTTTCCAGAATGCTTCCTTCACGCTTTTATGGCACTGCTAACTGCATTAAACCTATTCCTGGTGATGGCTCTCTTAGCAACGATGATTCACTATCTGATTCCGATGACGATGTTCCGCTTTCGCGCTTGCGCAACCAAACACGTAAAAAACCTATAATTATTCTACCATCCGATTCCGATACTTCCGATGACGAAATAGTTGATCCTAGACCTAAAAATTTGAAACAGAAGCGAGCAGTTAAGGAAAAAATTATCTGGACTGAAGGAAAAATGCCAGCGTATGATGAAAATAATTTCAATTTTAGTGGTAGCCTGGAATTGCCAGAGTTTGCTCAAGAATTAGAATCACCTGCCGAATTATTCCAATTTTTTTTCACAGAAGATTTGATAACATTTATTACGGAACAGTCAAATCTGAAATCTACTCAGGTCAATGTTAACAAGCCAGCAAATATCACAACTACTGAGATTGAGCAATTTATAGGTATTGTCATCTTCACCTCATTAGTTCACCTGCCATCTACACGGATGTATTGGTCCAACAACATTGGTCAGCATCAAGTCAATTCAATAATGACATGTAATAAGTTTGAAATGATAAAACGTCATCTTCATTTCAATAATAATGAAGATTTCAAACCACCCGGTACACAAAGTCACGATAAACTGTTTAAAATTCGACCTCTCATAGAAAAATTAAGAGAGCGGTTACTTTTGATACCCAAAGAAGAATATCTGGCCGTAGATGAACAAATTATACCCACGAAAGCTCGCCACCAACTCAAACAGTACAATCCAGCCAAATCTCATAAGTGGGGGTACAAAAATCAAGTGTTGAGTGGCGTATCAGGGTTCAGTTACGACTTCGATATTTTTGCTGGCGATCAAAGCAACATTTTTCCAAGTGATGCACCAGATCTTGGTGTCAGCTCCAACGTTGTTACACGACTCACATCTACTGTGCCTCGAAATGTAAACCACAAAATATTTTTCGATAACTGGTTCAATAGTATAAAATTGCAAGTTTACCTGTATAAAAATGGATTGCTGCCATTGGGAACCATTAGGATGAACAGAGTACCTAACGCTGATATGCCTACAGAAAAGGACCTGAAGAAAATAGGTCGTGGTACTATGGTTGAGAAAATCGCCATCGTCGATGACGTAAAACTAAGCCTGGTATCATGGTATGACAATAAAGTGGTCAATTTACTGTCTGCGTTTGTTGGTAGTGAACCGACTTCTACTAAGACTAGATATTTCAGAAAAGATAAACAGTACAAGGACATAACATCGCCACAATGCGTTGATGTGTATAACCGACACATGGGAGGTGTTGATTTGCTTGACTCTTTGTTAGGTCTGTATAGGATCAAAATAAGATCTCGTCAGTGGTATAAAAAAATATTTTTCCACTTGGTTGATATGTGTGCAGTTAATGCTTGGTTACTGTGGCGACGCAAGACTGACCAATACATGTCACTATTTGACTTCAAGCTAGCCATTTCTGAACATTATTGCAAGGCTGGCAAAAGTATCTCAAGAAAAAGAGGCCGTCCTAGTATCAGTAATCCCGGTACACCTACCTTGTCAAGAGGAAATACTCCTACGTCATCTAGAACGGGTACTCCTACCAGTAGAAATGAATCTTTCACACCTCGAAAAAGGGCACGGAAAACCCCAGCAAAAGTGCAAGACCTACCTCTAAATTCAGTACGTACAGACAAAATTGACCATTTCCCGATACACCAAAAGAATCGTCAATTATGTCAGAATGATTGTTCTTTGCGTTCTCATATAAAATGTGAGAAATGTGACGTTTTTCTTTGCTTGAATGAGAAAAGAAACTGTTTTAGAGAATTTCACCTTGTGTAAGTTTTGGTATTTGTTGTGCATAGGAAGCCAAAAATGGCAGTCTCATACACAGACGTTATTGCATGGGAAGCCAATTTTGGCTTCTGTTTTTTTTTTCTAAAATAAGATACTTATTTTTTTTTCACTTTATATTTTGTCTTACAAACCCTATTAAAACACATTGAAACATAAAAATATTTTTTTTCTTTTTAATTTAATAATTCATGCAATAGAGGGTTAAAATTGAGCAGCATTTAAGTATTTGGGCATAAATGTAGTAAAGTTCTAAATAACCTTAGAAACTTTCTTTCAGTAAAGGTAAAGGTAATCACTGGTGTGATGTATCTATGTTATCTTGATCTTAATGAGGTTCTTATATACAACAAGCTAGAACTGTGTAATAATATTTCAAAATTCCCACTCTTAGCTGAAATTACTTTTTATCAACGAAGGCACGTCAGGACACTTTCCAGTGTATTGAAATTATTTTGAAAATGATAAGTAATTGCAGGCAGCATCATCCCTCGGAGATTGACTCGTATCGTTGGCTTAGAGTTCTGGTTTGTGTATCCCTCATTTTCTATCCAAGTCACACGCCTTCAGTATAAGTTACCTCGATAGACAAACTAAGGCATTCATGTAACACATCTTTAGCAATTAAACTTTTAATAAAGAGGAAAACCAAATTCAAAACTAAAAATATACAATTTCTTCATAATATCTTTTAACAACCGATATGAGATCAGGCGTAGGGCCAAGAACTTTATTAGCTTTTGGACTAAAACACCGCCAATTTGTTCCAGATTGCTACTGAGAACTTCTTTACAGAAAAACCCAAATAAATGACTTTGGCCTAGCTGATTTATGTCCTGGGACCACACGATAAGCAGTAATGCTTACGACTACTAAATCAACAGGACAGTAGGAGTACAACGAGATAGTCGGTTAAGTGTACTCTTAATTTGGGCCATCTTCAATATATCCTCATTTTGTTCGATAAACTTCCGTTACACAACATCTTCTTGCAAACCGCACTTTACTCTTATCACACAATATGTCACCCTATCATTCAGCGTCACATCTAACATACTTCTTAATTACCGCATTTCTATACCATTAATTTTACTATCGTGCTTCTTGTGCCATACCCAACTAGCACTATCATACATAAAGTTAGGAACTAACACAGCATTGTTAATTGCCATACGTGGTATATGTTAACACATTCTGATTTCCCATAATATAGTGAAGAGACCTATTTATTCTATATCCTGCATTCACTCTTCATTCTATATCCTTGTCATATCTACCATCCCTTCTAAACGCACATCCTAAATAATACACAAACTGATACACTTGCTTTTTTAATATTCCCTCGAATAAATAAGACAAGATTTTGATTATTACCCCCCTCATCAACCTTACTAATTTCTAGGAGAATTGTACTCGTAGAAAATGGAGTAGAAACTGGATGAACAGTTTATTCCCCTTTATCATCTAATTTTGCTCATGGCGGAAGATCAGTTGATTTAGCCATCTTTTCTTTACATTTAGCTGGAATTTCATCTATTTTAGGAACTATTAATTTTATTTCAACTATTATTAATATACGTATTAATCATATATCATTTGATCAAATATCTCTTTTTATATGAGCAGTGGGAATTACTGCTTTACTTTTATTATTATCTTTACCTGTCTTAGCGGGTGCTATAGTTCTAACAGATCGAAATCTTAAATACTTCATTTTTCGACCCAGCAAGAGATGGGGATCCTATTGCATGTCGAGCGCAAAGCGCATAGGTATGTTCTACTAGCGCCTAAAAATCAAGATTCCAACGTTTTGAAATGTACGATGAAATCGTATCTAGCTATCATATTATACATATAAATGATATAAAAAGCACATTGTCAGAAAGATAAATGATGGTTGAACTTATTAATATATTTTTTAAATGGATTAATTGCTATTTTTACATAAAAAAGGGGTTTTAGTGGCTTATGGTGTGGATTTATCAAGTCCGTATGGCTTTGTAAACACGATAACTTTTGAAAATATCAATTGTTCAACTCAATCTATTTTTAAAACTCTTCATCTATCATGTGGGAAGCCATTGAATGTAAATGGCAGTTTAATTTTGTTTTCTTTAGTTATAATTAATTTTTTTCGGCTGCTAAATGTCGAAATTTTCGGTGTTTTCGCAGCCTTGTGTTAGAATTTATTTCAGTAAATAGAGCCCGCCTGTGCCTCACTCACTTAGTTCGGCGTCAACCGCCGTTGTGAGTGGATACTGTATCGGTTGTTTGCAGCGGCTCAAAAAAATCGCTGTACAAATAAATACAAAATATTCGAAAAACAAATTTCATACATACTTGATTATTATAATAATCAGAGATTTTTATTACAATATTTTAAAAGCACAGAATAAATAATAGTAGTACGTACTAAAAGTAAGTAGGATGTAATATTTATACTTGAATACGTCTTGGACTTTTTGGAATGACATGAATGATGATATGATGATCATATGAGCATTATGAGTCGTGCACTTTGGATTTTCCAAACTTTTTCAAATTGAAGTTTGACATAAAATTATCGGAAAATTGGAAGTATAATAAGGTTATTAGTGAAAACTTGTGTGTATTTAAACTACTTTTAAAAAAATCCGTATAATCATGCTACACGTATTTTTTTTTAATGCGAAGACATGTTCAATTGGATTTACTAATAGTTTATTTTATATCAACATTTATATTTTATTTACCTGGATTTGGGATAATCTCCCATATTATTTCACAAGACAGTGGAAAAAAAAAAACTTTTGAATGTTTAGGAATAATTTATGCTATAATAGCAATTGGTCTATTAGGATTTATTGTTTGAGCTCATCATATATTTACAGTAGGAATAGATATTGATACTCGAGCTTACTTTACTTTATTAACTTCTATTCTTCTTTCAGATATCGTTTTACTTTCTTCTCTTTCAAAAACAATCACTGTCGTCTTGCTTCCGTTCACTTTCATTCTTCTTTCTTTTAAAAATATGTACATTATTATACATAATTAACATCGTATGCAACTTACCCGCAGACGACGCAAATATAACTTAATCGTTACCGTACAAGAGCCATTTGACGGCTGACTCACCCATTTTTAATCCACATTCTTCGACTTTGAAAGTATTCAAAAAAAATAAACAGATTGAAAAGCCACGGGGAAACCACACAACCCTATCTGATACCTTTATGGATTCCAAACCAGACAGTGTAAGCCCCATTGATAATGATATCAATATTAGAGTAAAGAAAATGTTACTACCTTTACAGCCTCGCGCACAAACCAAACTACATCAACGTCAGCCATAAAACAACCCTGTCAACACTGTCATTGGCCTTTTCCAATTCTTAAAATTCAAATATCTTATTTTGGCAAACCATATTTTAACTTCAAGGCCTTTGAAGATTGTAATATTGAACTTGTTGTCTGTAGGGAATAGAAACTATGATAGTATGATATAGGAATAGGTACACAAATAGGTACGGCGTATAGAGGCAGCGTAAGATAAATCACTACCACATATCATTTCGTAGATGTTGCAAAAGCGACATAGGGAAACTGACACATGAGATGGGCAGCAGAATATTGCTGATGAGCTCTTAAAATGCTAAAATACTGCAATGGCTAACTCGAGGCAATCTATGGGAGAGGCCTTTGATAGCCTGTAATGAAAGTCTTAATTAATTAGCTTCTAATATTATAATTTTCTTGTGATTATGTAACCGCTTTCAATTTTTATTACTGATCCAAAAACCCTTTTATCCTATATGTAAAGGTTAGGGTTAATAAAGAATAAATAAATAAATATATAGATATTGGATTTTGCGTACCAAAATTACTTTTATAACCACAGAATAAAAAATATTTATTTTTAAGTAATGATATCTATAATATAAAAATGAATCGCTGAATGTGTTGCTAAGCGCATATCTCGAGAGCAGCTGAACCGATTTCGCTAATTCTTTTTTTACAATATTTCTCGAAGTACGAGGATGGTTCTTACGGAGAGAAAAATTAAAAAAGTCTAAAAACAACACTTTTCTATATTCCCATACAAAAGAAGGCAAAACAATTGAGTGACGTTAGTATCGCATAAATATTATATCGTGTCGTATCGTATCGTATAAATTTTTATCAATACTTATACGATGGTAACATTGCGGTACGAATAGAGCATGGATACCGGTTTTCGATAATATCGAAAAACCGGATTATCGGACCAAAAGTCCGATATTGAAAAACCGATATTGGATTTGACTGATATCGGTCTTTCGACATTTTATATTAAAAAAAACCAGAGGCAATAGAATCTTTTTTACTTATTTTATTAATTTTAATTAATGTAAAGCATACCTAACGGGTAATAATAATTATGTATGTTCCAGTGACAAAATCAAATCCAATCAAATCACTTTTATTTGTTAACACAGGTACAGAAATACAGATCTTTTAATTGATAAAAACCGAGTGCTATGTTATGACAGTAGCAGGTTTACAAATATGTCATTTTTAAATGATTATTTCCGAATAAAAGTGTGTATATGTCACCGTAAAATTGTCAAATACGTTATATTGTAATAGGTTAAGATCATGTGTATCCAAAGCACTGATTGACATGAACTCTGATATCAAGTTCACACAGAGCGAGTTTCATACTTTGGACAATTTTCAGAAAACTCTGCATATTATCAAAGTGACAGTCGAAGCACTGTGCCGGCGTGATGCAACTCTATTAACTGCTGATGCGGCTATGAAATTTATGCTACGTAAATTAGATAGTCAAAATTCTACACTGTCAAGACTTCTCGCAAGATCATTGCGCGTGCGCATTTCCCAAAGACGACTTTCTATTGCATCTACTTTGCAGTATCTCCAAAATCCTGAAACATATTTCAGTGAAGTTGCTACCGCCGAGTTCTTAAAAACCCCAGAAATGGTGGAGGAAATTTATTCACTAACTCAAAAATTTGAAGATGAACCTGTGGTTAGGGTTATGGATGATTTGGCCTTGGATAATAGCGCCAGCAGCGTGAGTGGAGATTTCGAAAGCGTTGATATTGCTAAAGAACTAAATAAAGAAATTGAAAAATCATTGAAGGAGAAAAATACAAATATGCGAAATAGAAATGAAACAGAAGATGAAGCTAACAGAGATGGTGGTTATGGTGAAAATGATAAGCATAAGTTAATTCAAATTGAAATGGCATTGTTTGAAAATGGTGGCTACCGCGGGTTCTATTTAGACATGGCGTACAGACATTTACTGACGATTCTTCTTCTTGGTCGTGTTCTTCAAAATTGAAGGTCGTGTCCGTATTTTAGTCCCTTCGTAGCGCTGTTCACTATAGCCCTCCATTCTGTCCGGTCCTCGGCTTTTTGCATTGCAGTCGTGAGTGAGAGGCCAGTGAGTGATTTGACCTGGTCTGACCAGCGGCTAGATGATCGGCCGCGTGGTCTTTTGCCCCCCACCTTACCTACGACTATAAGTCTATCCAAGTTATTAGGCGGGCGTCGGGCAATATGACCAAAGTAACTCAGAATACTCTGGTAACACGTGGTAGAGAGTCTGGTGTCAACACGAAGCTGCCCCAGGATCGATTCGTTGGTCCTCTTAGCGGTCCATGGTATCCGAAGCATCCTTCTCCAACACCACATTTCGAACGCATCAATCCTTTTCTTGTCTGCTGCTCGAATCGTCCATGCTTCAGAGCCATAAAGGAAGATGGAGAACACTAAAGTTCTGACAAGTCTCTTTTTGGTGACATTAGAGATTTTTCTGTTCTGCCAAATTCTTTTTAATCTACTCATTGCACCTTTGGCTATTTGGATTCGTCTTCTTATGTCTTGTTCACTTCCTCCTCTGTCCGAAAGTAGCGATCCGAGGTAAACAAACTCACTCACAAACTCTAGGTCCGAGAGTTCTCCAGTCCTAGAGAGTTGACCGGTTCTGTCTATCAACATAACTTTTGTTTTGGACTTGTTAATACTAAGTCCAGCCAGTCCACTCTCTACCTCTAATCTGCGAAAGAGTTGAGCGAGTTCTTTTTCCGATGATGCAAAGAGTGTGGTGTCATCCGCATATCTGAGGTTGCTGATCTTAACACCCCCGATTGAAATTCCTCCCTCCCATCCTTCTAGGGCCCTTCTCATTATATATTCCCCGTAGATGTTAAACAGGATAGGAGACAGGATACATCCCTGTCTTACTCCTTTTTTTGGCTTGAATGGTCCAGATATGACGCCATTGACTCTAACCATGGATTCGCCTTCTTGGTACAGATTGGCAATCAATACTATGAGATGTTGAGGTACGCCCATTTCCCGGAGTATGTCCCATAAACAGTTCCATCTTATGCAGTCAAATGCTTTAGAGTAGTCAATGAAGCACATGAACACAGGTGTATTGAACTCCCGGCTTTTCTCAATTATTTGCCTCACATTCACGATCTGTTCTCTTGTGCCCCGTCCTTTAACAAATCCCGCCTGTTCACCGGGTATTTGCCACTGTAGATAGGATTGTAATCTACTATTGAGTGTATACAGCATTATCTTGCTCGCATGAGATATCAGAGCCACCGTGCGATAATTCCCACATACTCTCGTTGATCCTTTTTTGTGTAACGGAATCACTAGTGATTTTTTCCAGTCAGTGGGCCAAACTCCAGTATTCCATACGAGATTGCATAAATCACGCATTATTTTTATGCCTTGTTCTCCAATGTGCTTTAGTTCTTCAGCAAAAATATTATCTTCTCCAGCTGCTTTATTATGCTTTAGTTTACGCAGTGCACCTCTGATTTCAGACTCCAGAATCTCGGGCTCCTTATCATGGTCTTTTAATTCGCCTAGGGTTCCTACAGATGGCATTGCAGGATGTGCGTATAGGCTCTCACAATATGATCGCCACCTTTCTGTCACTTGATCAACCTCGGTCAGCAGTGTGCCTGTATCACTTTCGATGGCCCAGGTTCTTGGTTTCAGCTCCCGTGTTATACTTTTTATTTTTTTTACTGACGATACCCCCCACGAATGTAGAGTCTGAAAGAGCGTTCTCGTCTGCAGCATATACGTGCAACAAAATAAGATCGCCTCTCAAAGACAATACCTTGGACGCCCTCTGCTACTTACGTTCCATATTTCAGCAATCGCGATCTCGTGAATTGCCGTAGGCTTCGTTTTTGAAGCCATATGTTGTAAGATGACTATATAGTCACCCCACCAATTTAATATCCAGTTATTTGCGTTTAATGTAATATTTACTTATATATTATGTTACTCAATTACTTATTTTAACTTGTGTTGATTTTTTAATTTTATGACATAGCAGAGTATGTTAAGAAATTGTTTATTTTTGTGTTTCATACTTTTTAAATTCTAATTATTATATAAGATTGCAATAATAAAAGTCGTTGATTTACTTTTTATTAGTGTCTTATTTCTAATTTGGACTAATTTTAACAAAACAGTGGTAGAGCCATGCGGCAGCTTTTGCTGTCGCACGGATGGGCCGGCTCGTACCGGGGTGGTACCACGACCTCACAGAATACCAGCGTGAAGTAGAGGTTTACCTCTGCGTTTCGCTTGGTGAGTGCAGGTGGCCGGAGGCCCTTTTTACTGGGAATGAGGCATTCCATCTTAATCCTCACGGGTGACAACGCATCTGCATTTTGATTCGCAAACGAGGTTAGATGTAGATGTCTATGGGCCGCAACAACCACTTACCATCAGGTGGACTGTGTGCTCGTTTTTCACCCTTATCCTATAAAAAAAAACAAGTTTGATCTCTTTTTTTTAGCCATAATATCGGAAAAATATCGAAATACCGGAATATCGGTATTAAAAAATTTAATATCGAAACAAAACCGGTATTGGAAAAAAGTTCCGATAGTCCATGCTCAAGGTACGAAGTTCACCGGGTCAGCTAGTTTAAAAATAAAATAGTTTGAAGAAGAAGAAAATTACCGACTTTATACAGAGATATAATGACCAATCCTAGTGTGTTAGTAAGCCATACCTACTTAGGTAAGGACTTAAAATGAAACTGCATGACATAGCCCAGACATGGGACCTATAGGGGCACCCGTAGACGCGGGGATGGTCGTCGCTGTCTACGCGCACCCATAAAATAGACAGGTCCGTACCTTCAAAACTGCCGAGGCGTCGAAAACAGATGTCCTCTCTGACGTACACGCAAACTCCAGCCCGGGACACAAAGGAGTGTTCTAATTTGTACCCCGGGTAGGAGAGATAAAAAAGTATCAACCGGAGAGAACACCTAGCTGTGTCTCGGTTAGAAAGAGCAAGGTCGGCTTCGTCGTTTTCAGATGGTATTGGACGGCGTTAAGGTTTGAATGAAGTCCCCTGATGTTACAGAAATTTGCATTTTACGCCTTTGACTTATTGCTCCGTTTACCCCGAGCAAGTTTAGTCTCGAGCGGAATTTACGCCCCCCCCCCCCAATACGTGGGGCAGCCTAAGCACCCACGCTCAGGAAGAGTAGGGTAGCTTGGGCGTGGCCACCTGCACTCACCAGACGAAATGCAGAAGCTAAGCTTCTACTTCACGCTGGTCTTCCGTGAGGTCGTGCAACAGCGAAGGCTGCCGCCTGGCTTTACCACCGTTATACTTTTCACTTACTTTAAAAAAAATACCAGTAATGCTATTAAACATTGCTAATATTCCCTTTAACCACTTCTGGTAAGCTTAAAATGCTTGTGTTAGAAGTTGTTCACGACAGTAGTCGAATGGCGGATTCGAACCCACGACCTTTCGAGTTCGTGGTCCGCGCCCTGTCATTAGTCTACTGACGCTTCAATGTTATAGGTTATAACACTAGAAATCTAAAAGGACTATGTAACATTAAAGTACTGGTAACAAAACGTAATCGAGTAAAACTGATAAACAAACTAGAACAACAGACAGTTATTTAATTTAATGTATGTAAAATAAAATATCTTATCACTTGCATTATTTCCTATTAATATTTAGTAGCCATTTTAATGTTAGACTCAATGTTTATTATTTATGATTAAAACCTTACTTATATCGGGTAGGCATTACCATTACGTACTATAAAGTACTTAGTGACTATAGCAGTGGCATAGTAAGGGAAGGGGGGCACGGGGACCATTGGTCCGGATGGCATATTTTAGGGGGCGGAAGCATTATGGAAAAGTAAGTCGACTCCCGACTTAACTTTTTAGTTCTTACTTAATATTTTTATTATATGTAGAAAGCATTGAAAGTTTTCACACGCACGCACGGACGCATAGACACACGCATTCATGCACGTACGCAACTGGGCTCTAGTAGTTTTTATCGTAATTTCTTCATTATCTATCAATATAGCCCATCACAAGTCACTTCCGGACCTTAGGCCTCCCCCCTAGATTGCGGCAAAATACGCTCCTGAGCCACATGCATCCATCGACTACTTGTAAATTTCATCAAGTTGTCACTCACTTAGTTGAGGATCGCCCAACACTGCGCTCTCCAGTATGGCGATGCCACACATGAACCTTTCTTCATCGGTTGTTGGTTTTTCGAGCTATATACCGTTACATTGCCACTTCAGTTTACTGTTCCACTGGGCTGTATATCAGCTTCCCTTGTTCTTCATGGATATCCTCGTTACGGATTCAATCCCGCACAAAATTTCGGAGCATAGCCCTTTCCATCGCACATTCAGTGACTCTGAGCTTCGCCATACAGCCATCAGTGAAGGAACATGTTTCAATTCCATACGTCATCAATCGCAACACGCACTGGTTGTAATTCTTTTGTTTTAAGATTCTGAGGAATATCAGACAAGAAGATTTGTCGCAGATTCCCAAACGCAGCCCAGCCGAGTTGGATTCGTCGATTGACGGTTCGTAATGAACCGTTACCGTTACAGCCTACTAAAGTGCACTGCTGAACATAGGCCTCCCCCTTAGATTGCCTCACAGCGAGGCATTTTTTATTTTTAGTCGTTATTAGTAAGACGTTGTTGCCCATATCTCCCACGGGATAATATGGGGTAGTGGATATTCTTACACCGCAACTACACGGCATGCGCCACTAATTTCGTTATGAACTTCGTAATGAAAGAATTAAATCTTTAAGTATCTGTCCTATCACCCGCTTTCAGAAGCTCTGCTGTAGTTCCATCCTCACTCGGCGCTTTGCCGTTCTTAAGTTACTGGAGAGCCAATTCTATCTCACTTAGACTGATTCTCCAATATCTTAGTAATTTCTTTTTTGTATTTAAATAAACAGGTTTTTAAATCCTCGCTTTCTATTCCATCATCGACGCTCGGCTGG